CAAGCTCTGCTCCTGTACTACTTTGAAGAGCACTTGAGTCTAAATTTAAAGAAACTGTAATTACGGTGAAAATGGGAGAAAGTTAACCAGTCCTCTGGCACACACAAAGTGTGCTGAGAAGATGTCAGATTATAAATACTGTGGTAGAGTGACCGTTACAAGCAGCTCAGCCTTAGTTTTTGTAAGTACTTTAAGGGTATGTCTAGCTGCAATTAAAAACCCATGGCTGGTTCATGCCAGATGACTTGGGCTCATGGAGTTCAGGACGCAGAGCAGTTTAATTGACCACACTCTAGGACCCTGTGTGGTGGGAGGGTCCCAGAGCAGGGGGCTGCAGCAAGAGCCAGAAAGCCTACACCACAATTAAACAGCACTGCAGCCTGAGCCCTGCAAGCCCAAGTCACAGATGTCTACCTGCAGTGTAGAGGGAGGGAATGGGTGCATCTCTCTTGCAGAGTCTGGTACTTGCAGAGATCCAAAAAAATAGTGTTAGAAAGAAGACAGCCTTCCCATTTCTGTCTGCAACTCAAGTCCTGCACACACTAATTATGGGATAAATTTTGGGGCTACTCACCTGCTAGATTCTTTATCAAAGGTTGATTGCAGTAGTTACAGTTCCTAATAACATTTGTAAAGTAGGTCTCTTTTGAACTCTGAAGGATTTCTAACTAGATCAAACTAGCAAAATAAATACAGCTTAGAATTGCTAAAATGAAAGCCCTGCCTTTGAACATTAAGTCAATTTTTACATACTGTACAATGGCAGCCCTAAGAATAAGCAATTTAAGATTAACAGAGATACAAGGGGAGGAGTTGATGTTTATTAAAGTCTCAAGCATATGCTACTTACTTCTTCCAGATACACTGCTGGAATATAGGTTCCTTTCATGAATCTACCACACTCTTCTTGTTGCCAGTCATGAACTGCTAGATTTCGATCAACATGAGCCCATGCAATTTTACGGGTGCCAAAAACAACAGACACAATGCTATCTAAAGTCTGAAAATGAGAAAAAAAATTATTCTGCATTTTGAAGATGTAAAACACTAAGTACTAAATATTATTTGATGTCTTGGGGAAAATACCACTTAACAAGAAATGTATATCTACTCTTTGATGAATTATTAAAATGTTTGATTTATGGGAATAAGTTTATTCTGAAAATAAGAGTAGTTTGTTGATAAAATCAAATTAAAAATGTTGTATACCTCCAACCTCTCTCTCTCTATTTCAGGTTTAATAAACCTCATTGCAGGCCTGGTGTCTTGTATTTTTCTCTCTCTTCTATCTCCTTTCTCAGACGGATTGAGGATAAAGTTACACACCTTAACAGTAGTTTTATATTGAAAGAGAGGCACGTTCAATAAACTCTGCAAGTTCTGAAATGGTCCATATTTTTCCCTATGCTTAATTACGCTGACAGATTTTCGTCCTCGTAATAGTTTAATGGTGGAAAGCTCTCTCTCAGATGCTGTGTTGAGCACTTGCAGGATGACAGCTTGTTGTTCAGAAGAGTACAAATTAGAGAGTGCATCTTCTGGTGTCTTGAAGGTTTGATTCGTTGTTGGGGAATTGACACAGTTCTGTTGCACAGCAGATGTTGATTTTTTCTGACACCAGGAATGGTACAGGGGCTGAAGCTGACATGAACCCAAAGGGACATGAAAGAAATACCTTCCTGAAGAAAAAATGAGTTAAAACAATGTCTTCATTAACTTACTGAACACGTACATCGATACCTCATTGTGAGGTGCCCATCTCACAAATTTATTTCTGTGCCATACAAAGAAAAAAAAAGCATTGGCCAACTTTTTAATTCCTGTTAATTAAAATTGGCTTCAGAAATCTAGCATTTCAAACAGGTTATAGAAAAATTAAGAATTCAAGAAAAGGGCCACCAATCATTTTAAACTTCCTCTGCTATTTGTGTTGATGGGTTTTTTTATTGACATTTATTGCCACCCATTAATGAGCCACTGTTCTATGACCCCACTTAAATCTAGCCCTGGTAAGTAATGACCCAAACCCAGTGGATAGATGTTCAATGACCTGTGAAATGAGTTGATTGTTTCAGTCTGTTTCTTAGGGGATAAGTATCACTTTCACAACTGCTACTAGCTGTTCCCCAGATGCTAGCTGCAGCAGATGCTAAGGAGGGAAGGAGCATGGAGACTGAATTACCCTCAGCTACAGAGGTTACTCCTCTGAACCAAGGTTGGCTTGAGGCCCATGGGGGAAGAAGTGTGGTTTGTATTGTTCTGCCTATTGCAGGCAAATGGACCACTTTAGTCCACAGGGCTGTCAAGGTAAATTCATCAAGGAATAGTGAATAAGAGCAGCAGCAGAAGAGCAGTGTTACCCATGGGCCTGGGAGGGCAAATCCCACACCAGTCAGAGGCCTCCTCTACACTATGAGGCTGTCCATAAAGCACTGGAGAGAGGCAGAGGCTTAACTCTGCGTGTTTATTTTAGTGTTGGACCAGGGTAAGTGGGTGGGCCTCAAAAGATCACCAGAAAGTGTTGTTTGCAGTGTAGTTGTAACCTGTGGGTCCCAGGATATTAGCGGGACATGGTGCGGGAGGCAAGATCTGTTACCGGACCAACTTCTGTGGGTGAAAGAGATGAGCTTCCAGCTACAAGAAAGAAGACCGCTGTGGGGCTCGTGAGCATGTCTCTTTCACCAACCTTGTCGCACCCCAAAACGTGCTCACTGCTATCTGATCAGCCCCTAGGAAGGAATCCAACAGGACTAGTGTGTCAGGCCAGTGCTGGACGCAGGGCAACCAGGCCCAAACAACTTCCAAGCAGCAGGTTTCTGCTGCTACCTACCACCCAGAACCAGGTACCCCCAACTTGGCACAAAGGGGGTGGGCCACTCCTTCACAGAGAGACCCTCCCTTAGAATCTCTCCTTCTCGCCCCAGACAAACCAACCCACGCAGAATCTCTCCCTCTACCCCCCCCACGACAGTCTGACCCCCAAAAAATATCTCACTCTCCCCCAGACAGACCGACCCCCCCCGGAATCTCTCCCTCTCCACCCAGACAGATCGACCGACACCCCACCGCGGAATCTCTCCCTCCCCCCCCCCCACAGACAGACTGAACCCCCCAGAATCTTTCCCTCTCCCCCCCGACAGACCAACACGTCCCCCAGACTCTCTCCCTCCCCCCCAGACAGACTGACCCCCCAAAAAATCTCCCTCTCCCCCCAGACAGACCGACCCCCCCCTCCCGGAATCTCTCCCTCTACCCCCACCAGACAGACAGACCAACCCTCCCCCCACCCGGAATCTCTCCCTCTACCCCCACCAGACAGACAGACCAACCCTCCCCCCCCCCCCGTAATCTCTCCATCTACCCCCACCAGACAGACAGATCAACCCTCCCCCCCCCGGAATCTCTCCCTCTACCCCCCCGAAGACAGACCGACCCCGCAAAAATCTCTCCCTCTCCACCCAGACAGACCGACCGACTCCCCCCATCACCACCGGAATCTCTCCCTCTCTCCCCTCAGACAGACCGACCGACCCCCTCCCCCCAATCTCTACCTCTCCGGAGGAGGCTCGGGAGCCAGACGCTGAAACTCATCCTGCCCACCCAGCCAGGCCGCGCTTCACCCCGGGTGGGTCAGGGCAAAGAGGCCCCGGCCCCCCCGGCTGGTAAGAAACGTTCCGGCCTCAGGCGGGGCCGGGCAGAAGAGAAATTGGGCCTGGCTCCCCGCAGTGGCCTTCCCCTGTACTGCCAGCAAAGGGGGGGGGGGGGAGGAGTAGCGCAACATAAGCCCTGGCTGGGATGATTTAACTGGGAATTGGTCCTGCTTTGAGCAGGGGGTTGGACTAGATGACCTTCTGGGGTCCCTTCCAACCCTTATATTCTATGATTCTATGATTCTATAAGGGAGTGGGGCAATGCCACAACTGCCCTAGCCCCAGGGTGAGAGCCCCAACCTTAGAGCCCCCAACCCGCCTAGGGTCTGATCTGTGTGAGCCACAGCCCCAGAGCTCCCAGCCCCCTAGGGTCTGATCTGTGTGAGCCACAGCCCCAGAGCTCCCAGCCCCCCAGGGTTTGATCTGTGTGAGCCACAGCCCCAGAGCTCCCAGCCCCCCTAGGGTCTGATCTGTGTGAGCCACAGCCCCAGAGCTCCCAGCCCCCCGGGGTCTGATCTGTGTGAGCCACAGCCCCAGAGCTCCCAACCCCCCCGGGGTTTGATCTGTGTGAGCCACAGCCCCAGAGCTCCCAGCCCCCTAGGGTCTGATCTGTGTGAGCCACAGCCCCAGAGCTCCCAACCCCCCGGGGTCTGATCTGTGTGAGCCACAGCCCCAGAGCTCCCAGCCCCCTAGGGTCTGATCTGTGTGAGCCACAGCCCCAGAGCTCCCAGCCCCCCGGGGTCTGATCTGTGTGAGCCACAGCCCCAGAGCTCCCAGCCCCCCGGGGTCTGATCTGTGTGAGCCACAGCCCCAGAGCTCCCAGCCTCCCGGGGTCTGATCTGTGTGAGCCACAGCCCCAGAGCTCCCAGCCCCCAGGGTCTGATCTGTGTGAGCCACAGCCCCAGAGCTCCCAACCCCCTAGGGTCTGATCTGTGTGAGCCACAGCCCAGGAGGTCCCAGCCCCCCTAGGGTCTGATCTGTGTGAGCCACAACCCCCCCGCCCCCAGGGTCTGATGTGTGAACTACAGCCCCCAAAGCTCCCAACCCGCCTAGGCTCCACCTGTGAGGGCCGCCCACAGTACTACCCCAGAGCTCTCTGGCCGGCGGGGGGGTGAGTGACGTTCTGCAGTAACCAGGAGAGCAGGATAAAGCGGGGGGGGGGGGTCTGTTCTGTTCTGTTCTCGCCCCCCTCCCCCACCCCGAGAATTCGCCCTGGCGAGCCTTGTCCCGCCACCAGCACAAGGATTTCCCTGCAGTCGCTGGGCTGCGGGGCTCCCTGGGCGGGTCCTGCCGAGGCAGGGGGCAGTTGTGATCTGGGGGGGCTGAGGGCCGGGGTGGGGGGAGGAAGCTCCCTGATGGGCGGTGACCGAGCCTCTCCCACCCGGGCCGGAGCAGGAGTCGCGTTTCCTCATTTCTAGGCTGAAGTGCAGCCGGGCGAGGCTGGAGCCTCGCCCCCAGCAGCCCCGGGGCTGCGGCAGCGTGTGGCCGTCCGCGGGCGGAGCGGCCAGGGGCAGGATGGTGGATCCGGATTTCACCAAGACGCTGCTGCTAGAGGTGCTGCGGGCAGCCGGGACAGGGAACGCCCAGTGCGCAGACTGCGGGACAGCCGGTAAGAGGAAACGTCCCTAGGGCGCAATCAGCCGCCTGGGCTGCCCCACGGCTACCTCTCCCCGCCGTCTGTCAATCCCTGTCCCTCCCCGGATTGAATCTCCACTCCCCCAGGACTCCACCTCTCCCTCCCTTGCCCATATGCCCACTCCCTGCTCGGGACTTGTTTCTCCATCCCCTGTACCACTCTCTCAAGCTCTCTCCCCCTCTCCATTATCCAGGACTGCTTCTGCCCTTAGTCACTTCTCATCACTCAGGACCTCCCTGTCCCTCCTTCAACTCTCTACTCCCCACTTCCCCATTGGGACACCCCCGGAAGTAGTGTGCACCCCACACCCCACTCTCCCTCTTGCTCTCCCAAGCAGCAGCCAAGCCCTGCATTTGATTTGACTGGAGAGTGAGGCCTGGGCTACAATTAAAAATTAGACCCACCTGGCTGCCTTGCTCTGGGCTGGGAAAAATGTCCTGCCCTTAGCGCTGCAGTGAGGTCGCCCGAACCCCCAGTGTAGAGGTGGCTAGGCAAAGCGAAGAATCGCTACATGCAGAGAGGTGAATTTACTACAGCAGAAGAAATACCCCTTCCCTTGATGTAAGAACCAGCTACCGTGGTACAGCTGGAGCAACTGTAGTGTAGATGTGCTTCCCCCCCACCCCCGGCTGTGTGACTTGTGCAGCGCACTGAGCTCCAGTCTGCCTCTTTGTGTGACAACATTATAGAGATCCACCCACACCCCCGGAGCTCCCAGCCCACCTAGGGTCTGATCCGTCCTGCCAATCCAAGCCATCCTTGTGTTTCCCGTGATCAGGATCCTGCTGCCACTTAATATCAGAATTGTAGCCATCAGTGCTAGTTAGCTATGTCCTGGACATGGCTAACTTGTACTTTGAGCTTATGCTTAAATAAATTGGTTAGTCTCTAAGGTGCCACAAGTACTCCTTTTCTTTTTGCGAATACAGACTAACACGGCTGTTACTCTGAAATCTTACTTCACAAAGTTCCTGAAACCCATGCTGAGAATAGCAGGGAACTGCCACGGCTTTTCACTTCTTTTACTGAAAGAATGTGAAAATGAGCAAAGCACACTTCAACAGATGACATTTAAAGGGACAGTGTTCATTTACCTATCTAGTCAATAAAAAAAAAAATATTTAAAGTAGTTTGTGGTTGTACATCTGTCCCTTAGTCCTTTTCCCCCTTCTGTGATTTTACAATCACATTTTCTAATTGTTTTAAATGTTTTCTGTCCGCTAGTGCTGTGTGAAAGAACCACACAGACAACAGGGGCGGTGGACTGAGTATAGAGAGGGACCAATGAAACTGATGATATGCTAAATGCTGTCAAAACACAAAGGGAACACACTTTTTCTCCCCAGTCTCTTTCAATGATAGTAACCATTGGTGTGACTTGGAGCAAAGGTCAGTGAAAACTAATCAGAGAGAGGGTGATTTTTAAGTTGACGGTGTCCCTTTACAGCTTTGGTTTCAGTCCTCACACTGGTGTTGAATAATAATAGTAGTAATAACAATAATAATACTTTGTATTTATGCTTTTCATCCATAGACCTCAAAGTCTTTTCTAAAGATCAGTAAGCATCATAACCCCTATTTTACAGATGGGAAAACTGGTGGACAGAAGCTGAATCCAACATTTGTCTAACTGGTCACTATTCAGTGTTTCAGTTTTGGGGGCCCCCACTAAAGCTCCGATATGGGCCAGATTCACAAAGAAACATAGGCGTGGCAACACTGAGCATCGCCACACCTAACTTTGAGGTGCCTAGAGAATCACTTGTGATCCACAAAGCCTGAGTTCACCGACTAGGCTCCCTAGACAATGAAAGGGGAGAGATAAGTCCATTAGAATCATCATCATGATGTTCCCATTACGCCTCTGGCCTTTAGGGCAGTGACGAAGCTCCTCCACTCCTGTCTGTTTCTGCCAAGTCTTTCAGTGGTTCCCCAGCTGTGCCCCAGGTTTTTCAGCTCGGCTTCCACAGCTCTTCGCCATGTTGTTTTCGGGCAGCCTCATTTTCACTTGCCTTCACATGTCCATTTTATTGCTACTCTGGTGATGGGATTTACAAAAGCCAGGACTCAAGGCGGCTCCCTGCCTAAACTAGCCAATGGGAGAGGCCAAGATGAGGCATATGTCCTAATCCTCACTCCTCTCAGGGAGCTTGATGTAAGTCTGGACTGGAGGGAGGCACCTTCCTCTGCATGAGAGTCTCAGCTGCAAATCCTCTCTTGGGGTTAGGCACCTATGCTGCTTTTGGAGGGGGCCAGAAGGTCCCTCAGTACTTTTAGCCCCAAGGCTGGGGTACTCACCTTGGATGTGGGAGAGCCCCCAGCTCAAACCCTCCTCAGCCTGAGAGGAGAAGGGATTTGATACCTCTCAGGTGAGTGCCTAACCATTGGGCTAGGGATATTCGGATGTGAGGCTCCCTCAGTTGGTCCTGTTGAAGCTGCTCCACTGTGGATAAATAGTGAAAGGATCATGGGGCCAGACAAAGAGAGAGAGAAAGCAAATATGTGCGAGGCTGACTCTGTACCCTTGGTGGTTGGAACACTCACCAGGGAGACTCAGGGTCCGGTCCAGTCCCCCGGCTCTGATGACTCTTTAAAATTATCCACAGCAGAACAGCTTCAGCAGTACACATTGAGGGAGCCTCACATCAGAATATCCCATAGTCTGGTGACAAGGGCCCTGCCCTAAGAGGTAGTAGATCCCTGTTCAAATGCTTTCTCCCTCAGGTCAAGGGGGACTTGAACCAGGGCTCTCCCATATCCGGGTGAGTGGCCTAACCACTGGGCTAAACATTATGAGGAAGTTCTGCCTCCTCTGTCATATTGTGTAAGCTCACCGATCCACTAGGCAAGCTCTGAGCCTGTTTACCACCTTGGGCTCCACAGGTGAGCTAAGCAAATCAACACCTATCATCCCTGGTTCATGAATTGCTCTGGGGCTTAAGTGTCTGGCTGCCTCATGTGCGGCTGCAGGGCATGTGTGCAGAGGCAGAAACGTAGGCGCTAGCGAATTTTACTGCAAAATGTAGGTCCCGAGTGAGTATAGGTACCTACAGAGTTTAGCAGCACTGTGTGAAACCCAGTGGGGCCTGATTCTGGGATTTAGATGCTTAAAGTGGCAGTTAGACACCTAATTCCTATTGTGTTTCTAGCCCTAAGTGCCTAAATCAATTCTGGAAATTGGACTTAGGCTCCTAAGTCACTTAGGAGCTTTTGACAATTGTACCCCAAAGGCTTAATTTCCAGTGGTGCAGAGCACCCACAACCTTGTGCAATTGGCATTACATTGACACCAGTGGTCAAACAGGAGTCTCAGGTGCTGAACCAATAATGAGCCCAGGTTCTACTCTGCCATTGCCCTGCCCATATGTACAGGTTTCCTCTCTAGCTTATCATCCACATTTATTTTTAAAACAGATGTTTGATTGCAAAGCTGCAGAATAACGGGCCATTTTCCCTGCTAGTGTAAGCAGGTGCCATTTCATTGACTGCAGTGGAGTGAGCTCCACACACTCCAGGGTTGGATTTGGTGCAGATTCTGATGTGGTTTTGATTAGAAGATGTACCCCGCATACGGTTGTCCTCTTCTCAGTGTTTTGCTACATGCTGTATTGTATATTGCACTATTGCCTTCTTTCAATTTGTGTTTAGATCCTGAGTGGGCCTCTTACAAGCTTGGAATATTCATTTGTTTGAATTGCTCTGGGATTCATCGCAACCTTCCTGAAATCACCAGGGTCAAATCCATCCACCTTGACTTCTGGGAGAATGATCTAGTAGAGGTACAGATGGAGAAAGCAAGAATTCATGTCCACTCTGCTGTATTTCAGCACATCCTTTTCTGTCCCGTGTTCCAAAATAGCCTGCTCAGATTAACAAAAACCACAGGGAGCCAAATTAATCCCTGCTGGTAACTCTGGGGTGCCTCTGGCCCACAAGTCAAATCAAAGCACACTAATAGGTGTTGTGCCTCTAAAGTATTATGATGTATTATTTATACAGCCCCATAAGTGCACATTGTGTTTTATAAGCACACGGTGGTTTTCACGTATATAGTGTCTTCTACCTGAGCATCCCAATGCCCTTTTCAAACATTAATTCAGCCTCCCAACTCCCTGTGGAGAGGTGTATGTATTATTATCCCCAGGGAGGAGAGTACAAATGGCTAGAGACAAACACATACTGGTGTGGGGAGGCTGGCAAAATGCACAATCTGAGCAGAGCACAATGCTACATTTGATCCTAGTTTCATTCCATGTTCACGTCACAGTATAGATTTTTCTGGTTGCCAGTCAGCTAACTGAAACGTCTTTTGTTTTGCAGTTTATGAAGACGCATGGGAATCTCTGTGCCAAGGCTAAATATGAGGCAAAAGTCCCTCCTTTCTATTACATCCCCCATTCCAAGGACTGTCTGTAAGCTGCTATCTTATTCAGTGCTGCAAACCTTTACAAGTCAGTAACTGCTGCTTCCCCCCATAAATGTGTCTTCACTAACAATTCCCAGTAGCATGTTGGGTAATCTGAATGCATGTCAGGACATGCAGGGAAAGGACCATGTATCTTGACCATCAGGGCTGCAGTGGAAAGGACCATGTATCTTGCCCATACCTTGTACGTTGTTAAGTGACTTATGTTTTTATCTTCTTCTTTCCTATAGCATATGAGCTGTGAATTCAGTTTGAGGACTGTAGTTGTAAACTTTTTTTCTCTGAGAGGTGGTTTAATGGCTTAAACATTGGGATTTCTGGTGTCTAGGAGCCTAAGAACCACAGGTTCAATCCCCATTAGTGTCAATTTGTACCTTGAAGGTTGTTAAACTGGTACAGTCGTTCCATGCGTTTATATGGAGGAGATTTAATAGAGATGGGAAGCAGTCCTGGAGTTTGGATGTTAAAACAAAGGTTATAGGTTTCGGGGATACCAGTTGGGCTCTCATAATAGAGAGAGGCCTGGGCTGTGAATTCTAGACCTGGTGCTAAAGCTCAGGAAGGTTGGAAGGTTGGATCCCATCTTTAGGATTAGGCCTGTTCTAAATATTATTGATTAACTCATCAACTTTGTAAAAGCATGACTAAGTTTGCTTGTGCACGCCATTGGCTTGGGACCCAGTTCTGCTCCAGTAGAATCACTGGGGCTCAGATCCTCAAAGATTTTTAAATGCCTAATGTCCATTGAAATCAATGGGAGTTAGGTGCCTAAATACCTTTGGGGATCTGGGTCTGAGAGTTTTGGCATTGACTTCAGTGTAGCAGGAGCAGGTCGTTGATTAGCAGAGTCGGAACTCCTGGGTTCTGTCACTGGCTCTGATATTAATCTTGGCTAGGCAATTAGGGACTTGACCTGGTTCTCAGGCCATGTTCTGAATGAGCAGGAGGTCAGCACTAAGATGTCACCTGAGGTTTAAGAAGATTCAACGGCTGAAATAGAAGGTTAAAGGAATTAAAGTAGGAAAGAGAGGGTTAAATGAGAGGTTTGTTGGAATCTGCTCTATAGTCTCCCCCTCATTCTCAGGCCTGTCTGTGCTGTAGAATTATAGGAGTTCCCCTGCTTTCCCCGATCTCCCTCTGGGGCTTCACTCCTAATCCCAGCCCTGTGTTCCCGCATAACAGGAGTTCCCCTAGATAATACTTAGTCCTGCCATGAATGCAGGGGACTGGACTAGATGACCTCTTAGGGTCCCTTCCAAGTCCTACGATTTTATGATTCTTTCCTCTACCCCCTCGCTCTGCTCCACTTCCTATTTCAAGCTTGCCTTGTTCCATGAATTCCCCCAGTTTAAGGATTGGTCCCAAACCATAGAGGAGAGCCCACGGTTGTGAGAACAGAAACTGGGGAGCTGGTTTTCCCAGTGATAGGGTCGATCAGAGAAAATTCCACACTCTACCTTAATTTCATTTTCTAGGCTTGGCTGCCTGTGATTTGGCTCCAGCGTGTCCTGGAGCATTTTCCAGCTCTAAGGCCCAGATGTTTTCAACAATTCACAGTGACTTATTGTTGTTATTATTATTTGTGTCGCAGTAGTACCTAGAGGTCAAGGCCCCACTGTGCTAAGTACTATACATACATGTAACAGGATAGTCCTTGCCCCAAAGAGCTTGTAATCTAAGGATCAGAGCCTCTTCTGCCGCGAATCAGCAGAGCGATGTCAATTTACACCACCTTCAAGTCAAGCCCGAAGATTCGTAGCACAATGCATTGCTTACAACCAAGTGAGCCCCAGCATCCAAGATGGGAACAAGTCATCCAGCTTTAGGTTGCACGGTGCAGGCAGGGAATCTGCAAATTTCTCTGCGTTGAACCCTACCAGGAACAGTGGTTTCTGACTCCCCAAACTCCATTTTGCAGCATCTCTCTAGTGTATCCAAGAGCTAGGGAAGCTGGGCTAGTTCTTCGGGTGGTTTTCATTTCCTCCTGTTTGCCGTTTACATTTCCTCCTCCCTACAAAAACACACGTTAATTACTCTGCCCTTTAGGGAACAAGATTCTTCTTGCAGCTTGCATGGAAAACTGCAGCCAGAGAAATAACATGAGCGTGATTTTAGTTCTGCTGCCAGCAAATAGCCATTCCTACCAGCCTATGTTACCTAAGCAAACAGTTACTAAATGTTTCCCAGTTATATTTTCTCTTTGGCCTCAATTGCTCTCCTTGGAGTCAGGGGAATTAGAGTGAATTTGCACCACTCAGAAGCTGTCTATTTCTATGCCTCAGGTAGCATTGGTTGGCCTCATTCTGTACATCGCTGGAAAGAGCTGTGGAATGTCAGTGAAAGGGAACAGAGGCAGATCTAACTAATCCGTATTTCCTCTCTTCAGAGTTTTAAAAGAACAATGGATCAGAGCTAAATACGAGCGGGAAGAGTTTGTTGCCACCAGTGTCTGCCATGAAACAGGTTCCTCAGGTGATTGTCTGTGGAGGGTTTTTAGTCTGGTGAGGCCAAAGTCCCAAGAACTGCAATCCTGTGTGTGTCAGCCTGATGCCGAGGGAGAGCTGGAGTGACTTTGTTTTCAGTCAGCTGCGAAACCCTCGTCCTGTTTGATCTGTCTGAGTGGCCAGCCAAAAGCCTCTCACCTGAGAGGCCCAGTTTCTGAGGGTGGGCATCAGAATAAGAAATCCCACATGGGGACACTCAGATTGGCCTTTAGGCAAGTAAAACGGGCATTTTCTCACTTCAAGTCCAACGTGAGCACCCAGATACCTGGTTTAGGGAAGCAGCAGGGGCGGTTGTTGGAGTGGTGGGGTTGGGAGACCTGGGTTCTATTCCCAGCTCTCCAGCTGACTCTGTGACCTTGGTCAAGTCATTGCAGGGTATGTCTACACTTCAGTGAAACACCCATGGCTGGCCTGTCTCAGCTGACTTGGGCTTGTGGGGCTTGGGCTGCAGGTCTGTAAAACTGCAATGTAGACAGTCGGGCTGGAACCCGAGCTCTGGGAGAAGGGGCCCAGAGCACAGGCTCCAGCATGAGCCCCAGTGTCTATACCTCAATTTTACAGCCCCACAGCCTGAGTCATTTGACAGAGGCCAGCCGTGGGTGTTTAACTGCAGTCTAGACATTCCCTTCGGGCCTGATCTTAGTTACCCTCTCAGCAGGAATACAGAGCAGCACCACGAGGGTTAGAAGGAAGCACACTCCCCACTTTCTGTCGTTTGGAGAAACTCCAGTCCCGATCTTTGCTCTACCCGGGAGATTGTGAATTGTAACAGAGAACAGTAGGAGAGCCACAGCCTGTGCTTCCCCGTGAGGCTCCCAAAGGCTTTCCAAACAGTCAGTCATTCTCCCTATTGCTCTGTGTGGCATCCAGATTTCCCATTGTACAGCAGGCATAGCGTGAGTACATGAACTGACTTAGATCCTGCAAAAGAAGTAACAGGAGTAAGATCTAGGAGTCCGGACTTCCAAGTCCTTGCTCTAACCACTCCATTCCAGTGTCTAGTATTCCTCGTATAGAAAGGGGCCTTTCAGTCTGGGGAAGGCCAAGGGGAGGCAGTGAAGAGAGAACGTTCAAGTGATGGAAGCAGGTCATCCGTGTTAGTTAGATGGCAGGAGTGCCCAAAAGGTGCTAGGCTCAGGAATTCTCACCGACCTCCAGGAGGTTCACCCCCTCCCAGGAGCCATCCAGTGCCTCTCAGGATTGGGTCCCAGGTGTCAGGCTGAATGGAAGATGGTTGCCCTCCACTGCTCCATAGTTCCAAGGCGAAATGAGCACCTAGAAATCCACTTAGACAAACTGCCCGGCTCGAGTGCTGCCTTGGCTCTAGCACTGAGGCGCCCTTGCTCTTGTTAGCATCTGCAGGCAGCCGTGAAGGATTTCTGTGGAAGCGGGGGCGGGACAGCAGGCAGTTCCTGAAGAGGCGGTTCCTCTTGTCGGCAACAGAAGGTGTGCTGAAGTACTACACCAAAGAGGTGAGTGCCCAGTCCGACCAGTGCACCATCACTGTCCCCGTAGGCACAACCGCTGGACGTTTTGCTGCTTCCTAGACTTTGCTGCCAGGCCCAACCCTGCATTTGGAGGGGGGTGGGGATCCTGTGCCAAGTAACATCTGTGATGTCTGATTCAGCTCCCGTCCTACCTGGGAGCACCTGGTCCTTCTCCCCACCTCCTCTGGCCCCCCGGCAGCCTCATCCCCGTCTCTTTGGTGAACCATGGAAAAGGGACTTGGGCAGTTGAGCAGGAAGAGGAAGAAGGGTTCTGCTGTCAGGAGGCACCTCTGGTTTTACCAGCAGAGTTCTCTCGATGCACATGCATAGGACCCTGCACTCCACCTCATTCCTCCCACATCACACGTGTCTACCATCTATGGCAACCTCTAATTTATGGTTCTCCAGACAATCAGACTGGAGAGACTGGAGTTGCACAGCATCATTTCTCAAGAAAAAAGTCATTCTCTAGAGCAAAATGTGGTTTATACGTGACGCAGGTAATCAAGGCATCAGGCTTCTTCAGTTAGTGCAGGGTGGTCAGTTCAGTGCCCTTGCCAGCTTCAGACATTGCAGGAAGCTGGTCTGCAGCTCCCTAGGGGCCTATTGGTCATTTGTCTCCATAGTTCTTGATTAGCCTCCATAAAGTCACTGCTGACCCGGTGACATTTTCCATTCCACAGTCTAAAGGTCCAAAAGCTGTGATCAGCGTAAAGGATCTGAACGCAATGTTCCAGACGGAGAAAATCAGAAACCCTCATGGGCTGCAGATCACATACAGCAAAGAAGGTCAGACAAGGAACCTCTTTGTCTTTCATGAAAGTGGAAAGGTAAACACCACATTGATTTTGCAATTAATAAGGTAGACTCTTGAACCTTGGGTCTGTAACATGGAAGATGTCTCTGCATCTCTCTCTTTCAATCTCATCTGAAATCACAAGAGATTTGCAGACTATAGTTGCAGAATTCTACAGTACTATTAGCTACAAGTACCCGTTGCTATCTGTCTCCTGCTGCTCTGCAAGGCCTAGGGTTGCCAGGTGTCTCATTTTCGACCAGAATGCCCAGTTGAAAAGGGACCCTGGTGGCTCCAGTCAGCACTGCTGACTGGGCTGTTAAAAGTCTGGTCAGCAGTGTTGCAGGTCTATAGCAGGTTAGTCCCTACCTGTCCTGGCACTGTACTGTGCCCCAGAAGCACCCAGCAGGTCCGGCTCCACGCGCTGCCCTCGCCCCCAGCACCAGCTCCACATTCTCATTGGCTAGGAACCGCAGACAATGGGAGCTGTGTGCGGGGGGCGGGGGGGATATGCCTGCAGGTGAGAGCAGTGCATGGAGCCTCCTGGCCCCCCACCTAGGAGCCAGACCTGCTGGCCACTTCTGAACCGCAGTGCGGTGCCAGGACAGGTAGGGAGCCTGCCTTAGCCCTGCTGCACCACTGACCAGGAGCCTCCAGAGGCAAGCCTGTGCCCCAACCCTGAGCCCCAACTCCCTGCCCCAGCCCTGAGGCCCCCCCAAACCAGAGCCCCCTCCTGCATCCTAAACCCCTCATTCCCAGACCCAGCCCAAAGCCCACACCCCCAGCCCAGAGCCCATCCCCCCTCCCACATCCCAACTCCCTGCTGCAGCCGAGAGCCACCCCCCTGAGCACCTCATTTCTGGCCCCAACCCAGAGCCTGCACCCCCAGTTAGAGCCCTCCCTCCCTCCCCCACCCCAACCCCCTCCCCGAGCCCAGTGAAAGTGAGTGAGGGTGGGGGAATGTCGTGAGTGGGGGGCAGGGTCTTGGGGAAGAGGCAGGGGCAGGGCCTCAGGGAAGGGGTGGGGCCAGGGTGTTCGGTTTTGTGCGATTAGAAAGTTGACAACCCTAGTAAGGACCTGGCCCTGCAAAGACTTACACATGCTTACTTATGTGCTGTGATTAGTCTCAATGGGTCTACTTACTGTCCCAAAAGTTAATCACATGCATGAGTCTTCACAGGATTGGGACCTAACTTTGTATAATTGACTTATACAATTCTGCAGTTATATTCAAGGAAGCGTTGTGATGGTCTCTATTTTATACAGTGTTTTTCATGAGTATCGTCATGTTTTGCATTTTAGTTCTCTCCAAAACAACTCTCAGACTTAGATCAAATCTATAGAGGTTTTTCTGATTTTCTCAGAAGCATGGTTGTTCCCCAAGCCAGTGCCCTCAAGCCATGTACTCACGTCCAAGACAAATCCAAATTCAGAAGGTTTTAAGCAAGTGCTCATTGAACCAATTAAAAATTATTCCCACAGTCTCTGTGAGTTAGATTCTGATCAGTATCCCAATAGGAATATTCCCATTATACCTAGAATCTTCTTGAAAGGGCATTTTCTAAATTATTCTTGATGTTTGATGTTTTATTAATATCTGGGATGTCTTGGAAACACATAAAGAACAAGCCACAACACCTGATCCCAGTACAGGTGTACTAAAATAGCATTGTTCTCAAATTTATTATAAACACCTGCCTGGGATGGTCTAGATAATACTTAATCCTGCCTCAGTGCAGGGACTAGACTAGATGATTTATCAAGGTCCCTTCCAGTCCTGTGTTCCTATGGTTCTATGATTATGCATAGTGATAATTAATATACCTTATATTTGTAATATGTTAATGTCATTCATTCATCCCAAAAGTGAACCACAGGCAACGTGTGCTACTACCCATTAATGGCAGTCCATGCTTGTCGCATAGCTTGTTTTTTCTAGGAAATGTTGTCTAATGGTTAAAGAACTGGAAGGCAGGACTCCTGGGTTCTCTTCTCAGCTCTGCCACTGAGTCACTATGTGACCTTGGGCGAGTCACTGTCTCTGCGCCTCAGTTTCCCCAAGGCGCTGCTGGAAGAAACAATAAATGTTTGCAAAGAACCTGCAGATCCTTTGGGTGACAGGTGTTCTAGAGAGGCAGCAGCATTATCCCACCACATTATTCCTGTCATTACATCTGTATTTGCCGTCTCCCCTAGGAAATTGTTGACTGGTTCAATGCCATTCGGGCAGCGCGTTTCCATTACCTTAGAACCACCTTCCCCACCGCTCCTGAGGCCGAGGTGAGAACTGAAGGTGCTTTAAGTGTGGAAAAGCATCATCTTCCTTTCTGTGCTTGTGCCCTCTTCAATAAGAGCATGGCATTGGGAATTCCTCCTGCATTCCTGTTCCCTTCTTGCAGCCTGGGAGGGACCACAACTATGGGCTTTAATAGAGACTCATATGGCACCTAATTTCCAGCCTGCATCAGCCTGGCCACCAAACTTCTGCCTGCAAGATCTGCATGTGGAAGCAGTGTCATGTGGGAAGCTGGCCCTGATGCACGCAGACTGGGTACTTAGATATCGAAGTACCTGATGGGTATGGGGAAAAATTCCTCTGTGTGGGAACTGTAACTTTTGTGTATAAACAACTGCAGCCCAAACACATACAGAGGCCATTTTGGAGAGTGTGGTTCTGTAATGCTGATTTAGATAAGACCTACTGGGAGACCATACATTTGTTTTCTCCATGGCTCTGTACATTCTGAGGATCTTTCAACCTGAACTGCTGGGGATCCTCTTTTTTGGGATTCATTTACTAGAAATATATTTCAGTCAAATAAAGAGAGGAAGTCAGGTTTAATGGCAAGCACAAGGGACTGGAAGCCAGGACTTCTGGGTTCTCTTCTTAGCTGCTTACTCAGCTGAGCCAGTTCATCTCTCCATGCCCCAATTTACCCATCTAGTAATAATGAACAACCTGAGGGGGAGGGGTCTTGTGAAGCATCATTCAGTGATTTCTTTAAAGGAACCTTCAGACACTGTGTAAGTGCAAAATATCATCCTTTCTCCAAGTGACCAGACGTTTCTTTCTAAGCTTCTCTAGCCCATAATGGAGAATTAATGGCTTGACCAAGAATTTTTGTTTCTCTATTAGCCATTTTCTTTCTGTCCATGTGCTGTGACCCTCACGTTATATTTGTCAGTCACTTACAGTCTGACTTTCCATGCATCCCATCAGGCCCTCTCATCCTCCCTCTCCAGTGCTGCCACTGGCTAGTTACTCTCAATCTTCTGGCACCTAGGCTAGACTCCATTAACTCCCTTCATACTCCTGTTGATGCAAGCACAGGTCCTTTCCTAGTGGAGTATTCCATGGTCAGCGATACACAGAGGTGTAATATTGAATGTTACTCCCGTAAGCGGAAAGACACCCTGTGGAGTCTGCTAATCAATTGGGCAGCTTCTAGGTTATTTCTGCATTTTAGTTGAGGTGTTTCTCCTTCCCATTGACATGACAGAGTTTGTCTCTCTGCGTGTGTGTGTATTTCTTCTGTCTCCAACATGCTATTCACTTTGATCAAGCATAGGTAGGGTTAGCTTCTCCATTTTCAGTATAACCAGACAACAGCTCATTTAGTACCACTTAGCAGGTAAGTTTTGGTAGGGAGTGTTCAGGACAACATAGAAGTGGGGAACATGCGGTATACATACAGTATACAAAGGTAGATCAAGCGTGGGAGCTAAAATATGGTCTCCATTTAAAATGTGACCCTTAACAGAACGAACATATGTTCCTTCCTTTTATTAAGTAGACAGACAGATAAGCAAGCAAAGCCCTGCTGATTATTTGCTTTGACAAATTAGAAGAGAACGCTGGGTGTGACTGAGCTGGTAACCAATGTCTCTTGTGTTCTTCTAGCTCATACCCAAGATTACAAGGAATTATTTCAAAGAAGGCTATATGGAGAAAACAGGGCCACAGGTAGTTCCACTTGAATTTCATACCTGGTTAAGCACCACGTAAATGCTTGGCACTAGCCAAACATGACTCTTCCCCTGAAGTAGTATGTTTGCTAATACTGCCATGATTATGATGAAGCAGTTTGCTAGGAGTCATGTTTAAGTGAGCCCCAGTTAAATGGAATAGACCAAAGGTGGCCAGACTGTGGCTTGTGAAGCACATGCAGCTCTTTTACCATTAAAATGCGGCTCGCGGAGTCCCCCACCCCTATCCCATTCTTCACCTACCAGACTGGAGGGGAGGGGGGGGAAGCTCAGGACCTCTGCCTGCAGAAGGGTGGTGCAGTAGGGGCTTCTGTCCAGCAAGGAAGGGGCTCTCAGGGCTTCTGCCCAGCAGGGTGTGTGTGTGTGTGCATGTGTCTTGGGGCTTCGGGCCTGCGGGGTGCACCTGCCAGGGCTTGGGGCTTCAGCCCCGCTGCAGCTGAAGCTCTGAGCCCTGGCAGGTGCCTGACGTCCCAACCCCTGGCTCCCAGCAGGTGTGCCCCAGCTCTCGAACTTCTGAAGATTGTCATATGTGGCTCAGAGGGTCAGTAAGTTTGGCCACCCCTGGCATAGACTGCATTTCAGTTTATACAGTGTTTTGGGATCCTGTTTTATTTCTGTATGAAGATAACTTTGAGGGTTTCTTCTACGGTGTGGCAAACTAAAAGTGTGATGGAATAATTGGGGGCAGTATTTCTGGAATTGCAAAGTTATATTATTTAGCACAAGGAGGTGGCTGTATCATGATCTTCTTTGTTAACTGCAGGTCTGTATCACCATGTAATACCCAGTATAGCAGAAGTATTACAATGCGGATCAGCCTAATGCAATCCTCTGCCCTCATCTGTTCTCCTCTTGTATGTAGGCCCTTTGTCCTAGCCCACCAGTTCAGTAAGTGAAATGGGGGAATTCAGTTTTCTTTGCTGGCATCACGATCGGTGTCAGATTGGAAACCAAGGGGAGAAGGCTCTGTTGCTTCTCTGACATTCCCTAGCTCCCCACACACACTCAAGCTCCATCCTGAGTCCGTGCTACCGCTTAAAGGATCAGCAGTGAAGCACATAATGCTGGTCTGAAAGTAGCGTTTGTTAGGCTACTTCAGGGTAAACAGGTGTTTCAGTGTGTCTGCCTGCAGGTAGCACCATGGCACCTGACCTTTGGAAGGTTCCCAACCAGGAGGACTACAGACACTTGTTTTTTTAATGAAAGTCTAAATTCTGCAGAAGCTGCAGCAAGCCCCAGAGAAGGGCCTGCCTAGCTCAGCACAGAGGAACGAGTGGCTCAGTTCCATTTCTGCCTCACGCTGAAGATTACACCTCGGTAAAGAATGTGCACAAGTCACTCGTGTTAACATCGAGGGAGAAAGGAAGTGAGGCTCTGGGCACAATGGTGAACCACAGAACTGCGTTACACTGAGGAACTGAAACTGAGCCAATGGGCAGCGTTAGCAGGATACCAGAAGCCTGCCAGGAGTGGCAGAACCCCTGTTCCTGGGAGCCAGATCATTAAAGAGCTGCTTCTCTCTCTGTAGCACAAGGAGGCCTTTAAGAAGCGCTGGTTCAGCCTGGACTCTCAGGAGAGGAACCTGTTCTACTTTAAAGACCCGCTGGTAAGAGGAGCACTCATTCTGTAAGTGGAGCCCCTTTGCAGAGGGAAGGTAGGGGGCTGGGGGTTCTGTGCCACCCACCCTCCAGGAACAGCACAAGCTCAGCACCCATTTGGGCCCCGTAGTGAATGGCTGGATTTTCAAGAGAGCTGTGCATGTCAGGAGCGGATCACTTGGAGATGAGTGGCCTTGAGCTCTTTTGAAAGTTTGGCTGTCCCTGGGTAGCAGCTGTCTAGGGTACTTAGGGTAAGATGAACAATAAGGCAGAGCCTGGAATAGACCCCAGTGCTGTGTTTTAAACACAGGACGTCCTCCCTGTGGTCTTGGTATTACCAAGCCTGCCCCTGCCAGCTCCAAAATCTGCAGTTCCCGAGTTCCCTATTTTGAGAATGCTTTTGAGTTTTTAAATCTCAGGGATTTTCCCTGACCCCTGGGTCCACCTACTCTGTGTCCAGGGCAGTTTCCCCTCCATATGGAACCTATTGCTTCTGCCTTTCAGATGACAGCACGGTACTACCCCTGAGAGCAGTGAACCCCTGTAATACGATCCATGATTGTCCTGCTTTCTCCTACCTAGGATGCCTTTGAACTGGGCCGAGTTTTTATTGGAAGCAAAGAGCAGGGATATGAGGTCCAGGCTGACTTGCCCAGAGGAGTCACAGGGAAGAGGTGGAAAGCTGGGCTCACCATAGTCACGCCACACAGGAAGTTTGTGTTTGTGTGTGAAAATGACAGGGAGCAGAAGGAGTGGACAGCGGCTTTGAATGAAGTCATCTCCCAGCCTCTGACAGCCTAGGACTAGTGGTGAGTTCCAGAAAACTGGACTTTCTGCGTCTGGTTCATCACTGCTCTGTGGTCTCTTTATGCCAGCTAGGCTGGCGGTAGGCCCCCTCAGGGAATATCCCTGGCGGTAGGGCTGCTTTGCCCAAGTGCAGCAGCCATGGGCAGAGAAGAGTGTGGGTGGGACTGGGCATGGCCAAGAGGGACCCCCAAGTGGGGTCCCTGCAGCTACTTAGGGCAGCTCTAGACTGACCTGGGGGCTGCACTGGCCCCCAGATCTCCTGAATAGAGGGGGGACAAGCCGCTTCTGCGCTGGCATCTGTGACAGCGTAGGGATCAGTCTGCCCCCTGTCGCTTCATGACCAGTGGGACAATGTCAGCTTAAAAATCATGGCCAAACAAGAGATTTACTTAGGAGCATTTCTATGGCTGTCCTCACCAGAGCCTCTGGGAGCTTCACAGACACTATTGAACCTGATCCTCTGGTGCTGGCCAGTGTTCCTGTTTCTTGGAAGCTCGGTGATGCTTCGGTCTGATGACTCACATCACCATAACTCTCAAGCTGCAGAGAAGCACTGTATTGGTGTGTATGTGGGGGGGGAGTTGTAGCCAGCCTGGTCAGCTGGGCTCAGCACTCAGAACCTCCTGGCTGCAGGCAGGAAATGTTCCAAAGGAGGCACCAACTATAAGAGGGCTTCACAGGCATGGCTGAAAATAGCTCACAAAACTGACAGATAGAATCAGCAGGGGAATGAACATGAGGAGGGTCAAAGGCCCGGAGCCAAAGGAGAATGTGGGGGGAAAGCCACATACCCTGAATGTAACTGAATGCAGAATCAAGACAGATCCTAAATTCCAAGTGCTTGCTGTGCAGTCTCAGGGCCCAGTCTTTCTGACTAGCCAAGCTCTGCTCAGTACAGTATCTGGGGTGGGGAGGAAGAAGCAAGGCAAAGGTTTGTGGTTTCCGCTTTGCAGTTCCTGAGCTCTGAGGCTGGCCAGGGATTGTTCTACGTTACACTTGGCTCCACATGGCCCCAACAGGCCATTTTGGTAGTCAGGAAGAGCTGGAGCACAGAGGCCCTCTAACCATGTCCCCTTTTGCTCGGGGAGAGAGTGAAGGAGTGAAAGGAAGTGAGGGAGCTGACCTGCAGAAGACTTGAAGCTTGGAGCAGGCTTGCTGAAGGGGCCAACCAGAGACACCTGGTGCAGGAAAGGAACCTCAAGCTGCTGCTTCCTTGCAAGAGAGCTGAAGCAGGCCTGGGTGGGGAAGGGAAGAGACTGGACCGACCCGACTGACTTACTCACACTGAGAAGCTGCAAGGGTGTCAGCTGGGGCAGGGCAACTGCAAGCTGATAAGAGAGGCTATGTGAAGGAATCTTTTTTGCTCACCCAGGCTGTGGGACCATGCCCTGGGACAGATTTTTGGGACTCGGTGAGTGACTGGGGAATTTCCCAGTTCCCTTCCCCCAAAAAGGAGCCCAAACAGGCTGTGTGTTGAAAAGACAAACTTTCATTAAAGCTTCTTGGACTCTTATTAAAGGAAACCACCTCCCCCAGATCCTTCTGGGAGGGGAGGGGATGGGGTGGAGAGGAGACAGGTCACCCCTCCCTCATGTTCCTACATCCAACCATGCCTCCTTCACTGGGGGCTTTGAGGGGCAGTGGCATAGAACCAGCTACACTGCCCGGTGGTCCCCCAGGCCAGGGGAATCCTCAACTGGGCTATTAAGCTGGCTTTGTAGCAAAGGGTCTGGCTCTCAGCATGACGCATACCTGGTCATTATTAGTTCTGGGTGCCATTAATTGTCTGTGTCTTGTTCATATTTCGGCAGAGGCCACTCTCGGGCTGCGCTGACCACCAGACCAGATGACTTGGGCACACGGGTTGAGGTGGGAAGATAAACTCAGAGACATTTTACCTGCTGACAACTGTTTTTGCATTTGTCTTCTGTCCCGGAAAGAGGGGAGCGAGGGATTGCATTTCCAAGGCTCATTCCAGTCCAGCCTACAAGGGCCATGGTGTTTGGTGGGATGTGGCCACCTTAGCAGTAGGAAGCAGACCAAGATAACCACATTCAGTTCATGGGACTATCAAACGTTGTTATGTTCAAAGAGCCTTTTGGCTGCTGCTGACATGGACTGCACTGGAGACAGCGACCAGGAGAAGAGAGTGCTGCATCCCGGTGTTAAGGCCTACAGGGGGATTTTCAAAAGGGCTTAGCACTGGCCTAACTCTGTTCCCACTGAAATCAGTGTGTCATGACCCACGGGTCTCAAACACGGGCCCACAAGGTTCATGGAAGCTGCCACGTTCCAGCCCACCACCCAGCAGCCAGCTGGCAGCAAGTTACCTGAGACCCATGAACCTCAGCTCCAGTGTAAGGCTCCGCTCCTGAAGTCCAAATGGCAGAGTCCCAGGGCAACTGATCGTCCCGCTGGCCCTACTGAAGCCAGCAGCAGGAACAGGAAGCTGTCTGAACTGGGGCTGTTCTGGACTGCTCGCCTGTGCTCCCCTGGCTTGATCTTCTGGCATCTGCCTCACGGTTCCTGACGTCCAGTTTGTCTCCTGCCTCTGATCCCCTGATATCCTGACCCAGCCTGACTCTGATTCCTGACTTGTGGTTTGCTTCTGACCTCGTGGTATCCCGACTCCTGTCTCATGCCTGTGGATTTGGCTCTATTAGGTCTGTCTAACCCGGCTGTGACATAGTGGGAGTTTTACCATTGACTCCAGTAGGAGCGGCATTATGCCAATGCTGAGCACCCAGCCTACGAGCAAATCCTAAGAGGGGACGTGCAGCCCTAACTCTTGTTGGCTTCAGCAGGTTCTCGGAACCTCCCAGGATACGTCCCATGGGTTAGAATGAAAGGACTGCCCCCTTTTGTTATAAGTGGGTCCAAGGCCCTGTGTTGGGTTGTACGTTTTGGTGACAAAATCCCCAAATTCTGGAAAAATAAAAGACAGTTTTGACCTCCTCTGACTGCCTATGTAATCACAGTAGTAAGGAATCCCTGCACAGCACCCTTTATCCCAGGATCTCAACTCTGACCCCATATTACAGATGCGGAATCTGACAGACAGGGAGAGTAAGGCCAATTTTGTCAAAAGCAAGGACCGATCTTGGGCATCCAGTCTGAGATACCTTGGGCTTGATATTCAGAAGTACAGGGCCCTCACAATCCACATAAATACAGCTGGGGCTATGGGCCGACACTCTCTTGACAATTAGGCCTAAATTGGGCACACCATATCAGAGACCACTTTTGTCTTGCCTTTAGGCCCACAGTGAATCAGTGCCAGAACTGGGGACAGGACTCAGGGGCCATGACTCCGAGGCCCTGATTCACCATTACCCTGCACCTTGTGTAATTACTTCTGCCACTTCAAAGGGAACGCAGACACCCCAGCATAATGAGGTAGTGTTTTATCCCCACTCTGTGCTGGTGTCAATGAATATTGGGCAACAGTGAATTGGGCCTTTTGTCCTCTGCTCTAATCACAGAGAAACATTCTCTCCTCTCGCTGCTAGGGCTGGGTGAAAGTTCAGAGGGCTGGTCGAGTCAAGCAGCCGGACATCTGGATGTTTTTCTTTGTATCTGGACTGTTTTAGTCTGCAGATCAGGCTGGAAATCTTGCAAGCAAAATGTATGGTGAGGCTGCCTGCACTTACTGATATGTTCCAGCCTGCCTGAAACACCCAGAGTAGCTTGCTTTTCCTGCTAAAACGAGGAAGTGCCTGTAGGCCGGGGTGTGTGTGTGTGTGTGTGTGTGAAATGTTTCAACTGAACTCTTCTGAATCTCTAAGAAAAAGGTCTGGGTTGGATCCTCATTTTATTTATTTGAATGAGTTCATCATCATCTGGCCCTGAGCAATCTGCTTCTCAAGCTCTGCTTGTCCCTGTAGCCCCCAATAACCTTGCCAGTGGAGCTGCCTCTGCCTCTCCAGGAGACCTGATGAATCAGGCTGGTTTCTGTTCACCCTCTTATTCAAAAATCTTTTAACAGGCTAATCCTGCATCCAGTGAAATCAATAGCACAGCTCCCGATTGACTTGAATGGTGTTTCAGGCCCTAGATCAGTTTTGAGCCACATGGTTTTACGTTCCTGGATTTTTGCTCTGAGTTTATCCAAACTAAACACTGTGAAGCCATAAAGCATAAATCATAAAGCAACAATTCATTGATTTAAGGCCAGAAAGAACCACTAGATCATCTAGTCTGACCCCCTGGATAACCCAGGCTCTAGAATTTCACCCAGGAAAGTCTAATGCGCTACCAAATATGCAGACCCACAAGAATTATGATCCACGCTGTATCTGATGATTGCTGGGGGCCGAAGATCTGCTGTATCACCAGCTGTGATCTGAGTTTTGTCATGAAACCAGGCAATACACCCTCAGGAAATGAATGGATGCATTCTGAGCTTCAATAAACATTTTGTTGGGCCTCAAAAAGTTTTGCATGGCTGGTTTCATTTCTCTGTTCAAAATAAATTTAAGCCTGAACCAAATCCCGAGATCAGAGCTCCCCTGAACTTTGGGGAAGTTTGGGTCACATACTGAACTTAAGCTAAGTCCACACTGCAATTGGAGGCATGATTGCAGCATATGTAGTTATCCCTGTGCTAGCTTTAATCTAGCTAGCACAGCTAAAAATAGCAATGAAGACACAGCAGCATCGGCTTCAGTCTGGGCTAGCAATATGAGTACATACCTAGGTGTCTTGTGCAGATTAAAGCTAGTGTGGGTATGCCACCTGACCTGCAATCACCCCTTCAGTTGCAGTGTAGACATAACCTGTGTGGCTCAGACCCCGCTCTAACTTAAATCATAGTTTGGGTCTTCATTGTGATAGGACATGCTTACTGAGACATGCTTGTTCTATATGATTTCTCTGGGCAAGATTCTGATACTTGTGTTGAGTGGCACCATACTCCACAAATGATCCCATTGGTCAACCTCCTAGAGCTACTTCAGGCCTGTTCAGCACCCCAGAATCCTCCATAGTGCCAAGTGCTAAAGTCATGACTCCAACCCTGGCCCAGTGCAGCCTCTGTGGTCCACTGGGATCACTTGTGGAGTAGGCCCCATCAGTATGAGCAAAGAGATCAGAATCTGGCCCAATTTATTTTTATGTCTAGAGCTTTGTCTCTTGATTCCCATCCATCAGTTTGTTTTATTTTTGTCTCTTGCTTTTTATTTACTTTATCCCGCTTGTCTTTTCCAGTCCATTTTAAATACTGAACTGCTCTTTTCAACCTGTCTTTAACAAGAAGAATGGAGGAATCCCTGTACTGCTGGCTAAAGGTTTGAAGTAGACTGCCACAGAACTTGCAGATGTTCAGCTGCTTTCAGAATCAGGCTGATTGTGTGTGAAATGAAATGGCCACAAGAGAGCAGCAGAGGACAAGGAATGGGAGAACGGCTGGCTCTAGTTATTGACCAAGCTGAAAATGGATATGATACCTTTAAGGAGACATTTTTCTGAGCAGTCCTATTTCGGTTCACTTCCCCTTGAAGAGGCTTCTTGTATAATGAGACTCTTAAGCGGGTGATGATTAATTTCAGCCAGATCTCTTGTTGCTAACACTCAGTCCTGGGCAGCCAGGCTTTGTGTGTTTAGCAGAAGGCAGCTCATTGCATGACACTGAGACAAACACCCAAAACAAACTCGGAAGGAGGGAGGCATCTCATGGAAAAGCGTATTTCCAGCCAAAACCAGATCCCAGATCTGTACTGCCCCAAACTTGGAGAGGTTTGAGATCCTGATCTGCCTTTGTGATTGGAGCCCATCTCTATGGACAACTCCCTGTGAATATTATTATAGATCTAATGATTTAGATTATACAGTGGCAAATATTTGCCAAGATAGAATTCCGACCTGGGGTTGGACTCCTACGTAACAGACGGGTGAAAAGGGAATAGAGGGCTCCTCCCCCTCTGAGCTCACTGGTGGACAATCTTTCATAAGCATAAAAGAAACTGAAAGTTCTGTCTTTTCTCTCTCCTGGGGGCCATGGCGACTGCTGCTAATCCTGTCAAAAATCTCCAGGACGAAGTGACTTGTTCTCTTTGCCTGGACTATTTTAAAGACCCAATAATAATCACAAAATGTTCCCACAGCTTCTGCCGAGCCTGTATCACCCAGCACTGCAAGGACCCAGGAACCGATGTCCGCTGTCCTCATTGTAGGAAGAGCTTTCAGCAGGAAAACTTAATCTCAAACAGGCCGCTGGCCAACATGGTGGAAATAGTCCAGCAGTGTCTGAACAGAACTGCCAAAAAACAGGGAGAGGAAAGTGAGGCAGAGAAACACCAGGAAGTATTGAAACTCTTTGGTGAAGATGATCAAGAAGCCAGTGAAGCCTGGGCTCGGAATTCTCAAGCTGGGCTTCCCCCAGACAGGAGAGCATGGGAGACCAAGGTATTTACTGTGTGCTGCATATTTAAATAAATAATAATAATTAAGTAATCAATAATACCTAACACTTGTAAGAACTATAGGGCCTGATGTGGAGGGAGGGATAGCTCAGTGGTTTGAGCTTTGGCCTGCTAAACCCAGGGTTGTGAACTCAATCCTTGAGGGGGCCATATAGGGATATGGGGCAAAAATTGGGGATTGGTCCTGCTTTGAGCAGGGGGTTGGACTAGATGACCTCTTGAGGTCCCTTCCAACCCTGATAATGGTTCTATGTCAATTGGGAGTTGAGGGTGCTCAGCATACTCAGTAAGTACCTTGCAGGACTGGGCCATAATTCAGGATATACTTCCCCGGGGTTGTGAGAAGAGAGTTTGGCTATGTCTTTGCCAAAAAGTTAACACTGCTCTCACAACATTCATTTTGCATTTTCTGACTACTTTGTGTTCGCTTTCCCACATCACCATGACAGTAACGTTAGTGGGCAGATGTAAGGGAAACAGGAAGCCAGATTACTTTTCCTAAAGCAGCTTTTATTTCTGGTAACGACTAATGGCCTGAGGATCTGATCCAAAGCCCACTGAAGTCAATGGAAAGACAAAGGGGCTGTCCAGGTGTAATTGAGGTGCACTGTACATACCAAGGTACAACCATCTAACTAATACTACTTGACTGATTGGCACCTAGATATCACAGTGATGGGCACACGTTGGGCCCAATTCAACTCTCACTGAAGTCAGTAAGAGTCATTCCGTAACACCTCACTGTAGCAGTTCTCAACCAGGGGTCCATGGCCCCCTCAGGGGGTCTGCCAAGCAGTGCTGCCATTTGATTCACTGGGTCCCAGGGCAGAAAGCCAAAGCCCCGCTGCCCTGAACCCCGCCACACAGGGCTGAAGCTGAAGCCTGAGTAGCTTAGCTTTGCAGGACCCCCTGTGGTGTGGGACCCCAGGGCAATTGCCCTGCTTGCAACCCCCTAATGCTGACTCTGACTTTTATGTACAGAAAAACAGTAGTGGCACTGGTGGGCCATGGAGTTTTTATAGCATATTCGGGGGCCTCAAAGACAAAAGTTGGGAACCCCTCCTGCAGATAATCAAAACCACTCCACGTATTCAATGGGTGGAAGGAGTTAATGTTACCATGAGAACCTTGACATCTGCATTTCCTGCCCTTCTTGTCTTTCAGTTTTCAGCCTTAAAGTTATTTTAATGTCATCTTTTATTCATTTGCACTTTATTTCTTTTAAAAACTAAATAATTACTGATATGTGTCACAGTTGCCCCTAGAGATCTGAGCCAGGATCAGAGACCCTTGCACTAGGCTGTGTATAGACACACACAGTGCCCCTCCCCAAACAGCAAACAGTCCAACTAAAATAGCAAAGACAAGAAAAATACCTTAATCCCTCCAGGACTAATATACTGATTAAAAACTCGCTGTAGTGCAGGTAGCTTTGTCCAGCATGATTAATAATGGGTATATTGTATTTTTGGATCCACTTTTGTTGTAATCCTCTCTGCAGTTGCTCTTTCATTTCTTAATTTAAAAAATTATTATTTACTATTGTGGGACCAAATAACAGCAGGTGAAATTTAGGGGCTCGAGACACTAAGTAACTAATTTATGGCTGCAGTGCCTTCATGGTATGAATTGCACCCACATTAAAATTCTGCAGCTCTGACAGGAGAGGCTCAGTTAGGTTGGGCTGAAAACCAGGCAGTTGGATTGATGTGGAACAGATATTCTGGAGAGGTAGATTTCCTGGGCTTGCCTCTCACAAATACATTAGTGGTGCAGGGTGACTTTCACAAGGCCAAACCTCAGCCACCTGGGAAAGTCTCTCCATGCAGGCCGTGCTATTTTGGGGCACCACTGGCTTCCCTTTTGGGGGGAAGAGGTGTATTTAATCATTGTCCTTCGCCCAGTCTGTGTTTGTTGCCAAATCTAGTAGTGTTGTTGTTTCTCTTTTGCTCCCAAGGCCATGTGGATCGAATGCTAATGTAGCGAGTGATTTTGGACAGGGCGCTTTAGCAAATAATTCAGCCCCTGGGGAGATGTGTGTGTGGTTAAATTAGACTCACCTACCTTTGGTATAATGACAGGTTTCAGAGTCGCAGCCGTGTTAGTCTATATCCCCAAAAAGAACAGGAGGACTTGTGGCACCTTAGAGACTAACAAATTTATTAGAGCATAAGCGTTCGTGGGCTACAGCCCACTTCATCGGATGCAAAGAATGGAACATATAGTAAGAAGATATATATACAAACAGAGACGGTCCCACCTTCTTCTTACTATTCTATGCATCCGATGCAGTGCGCTGTAGCCCACGAAAGCTTATGCTCTAATAAATGTGTTAGTCTCTAAGGTGCCACAAGTCCTCCTGTTCTTCTTTCTACCTTTGGTATGGTGCTTGCAGCCTCTGGGGCAAGGTGTCCTCCAAGCTGGGGCCCCACGGAGTGAGGGAGAGAAGGGGAGGGTGTTTGCAGCCCCTCTGGGCTGGAGTTGGGCGGGAACTTTGCAGCCCCTGAGGGGGATCCCACGCCTGGCGGGGTGGATGGGTCTGCAGCTCCTAATGCAGAGCCCCCTCCCCTGCCTAGGCGGGGCCCAGGGGAAGGAGGGCGGAGCTGGCCCTCCCCAGCCATGGCTGCGCTGCCTGTATGGCTGGGTCCCGGTGACCTCAGGTGCCCCATCTGCCTGGGGCTGCTGCAGAGCCCGGCCACCCTGCCATGCGGCCCCAGCTTCCAGCCAGCAGCACCTGCCCTCTGGCCTGGCTCTGTCTGCGCCCCTGGCTTGTCCTCCTCCAGCTCATTTCCTGTCGCCGTTGTGACGGTGCCGTGGCGCCGGGGAGCTGTCTACTTGAGGGTCCTCATCAGCCAGCTGCTGCTGGCCACTCATTCCACCCTGTCTCCCTGGCTCTCCCAGCCCTCTGCTGTGGATCCTGGGTGGAAGCAGGGATAGTCAGGAGCCCTGTGGCAGTGACTCTCAACCTTTCCAGAGAACTGTCCCCCTTTCAGGAGTCTGATTGGTCTTGTGTACCCCCAAGTTTCACCTCATTTTGAAACGACTAAAAATACAAACGGTCACAGAGCACTAGTACTGACAAATTGCTCCCTTTCTCGTTTTTTACCATATCATTATAAAATAAATCAACTGGAATATAAATATTGTCCTTACATTTCAGTGTATACAGAACAGTATAAACAAGTCATTGTCTGTATGAAATTGTAGTTTGTACTGATTTTGCTAGTGCTTTTTATGTAGCCTGTTGTAAAACTAGGCAAATATTTAAGTGAGGTGATGTACCCCCGGAAGATCTCTGCGTACCCCCAGGGGTACGCATACTCCTGCTTGAGAACCACTGCCCTATGGGACCCCCCACAGGTAGGGGCCTGAGGAGAAAAGGAGCAGCTACCCAGCACCACTCTGAGCTCTGCTGGAGAGGGTTGGTTAGAAAGACTGTACTGCTGGGCCGTCTACTCCCACTGTGTCATGTAGTACCTTGTGTCAAAGGCTGCAGAGAGGTCCCGTCTTATGAGCATGGAGATCTTATCTGACTTCAGTGGCCATATGAGCATGGAGATCTTATCTGACTTCTTATTCACCACAGTTGCAGCTCCATGAAGATAAGAGCAGTAAAAGATACAGTTATTATTAACTATTATGAATATTTATTATTTGGATAGTGGTAGCATCTAGGAAGCCCCCATCAGAGATCAGCTTTAGGCACCCCATTGCTTTAGGCACCCTACACAAAATACAATGAAGAGACAGTCCCTACAGTCTCTGGCCCTGGTCCAACAAGGCAGTTAAACTCATGACAAAATTTTAAGTATGTGAGTAGTTCCATCAACTTCAGTGGGATTAGCGTCATGCTTAAAGTTAGGTTTCAGAGTAACAGCTGTGTTAGTCTGTATTTGCAAAAAGAAAAGGAGTACTTGTGGCACCTTAGAGACTAACCAATTTATTTGAGCATGAGCTTTCATGAGCTACAGCTCACTTCATCGGATGCATACCATGGAAACTGCAGCAGACATTATATACACACAGAGATCATGATGCACTCACAGAGTGAGTCTCTGTGTGTATATAATATCATGATCTCTGTGTGTATATAATGTCTGCTGCAGTTTCCACGGTATGCATCCGATGAAGTGAGCTGTAGCTCACGAAAGCTCATGCTCAAATAAATTGGTTAGTCTCTAAGGTGCCACAAGTACTCCTTTTCTTTATGCTTAAAGTTAATTATATGCTGCTTAAATACTTTGCAGGACCTGGGGCTCAGTAAGGCAGCGTTAACAAGGCACAGGTTTTTTTCCCACCATGGCCTTTAATCCTATCACATTTTCTACTGGGGTTCTATAAATAAACATTCATATGTTTCACTTTAAAGGCAAAATTGGAAATAAGTGAGGTCTCCAAGCAAATTGAAATAGCCCAAGATGCCATCAGCAGCAGCAAGCAGGCCAGCGCTGAAATGAATGTATGTATACACATGATCAACCCCTCTTAATTTATGCGTTTACCCATCACTGAGAGATGCATGACCACCTTTATTTAGGACCACATGGGGCAAGGGGTCTGCCCAGGATCATCCACCTGTGCGTCCACCTTTTACTCCCGCACCCCTGGTGGTGTTCTCTGAGGAGTGTTGGATATGGCATCAGCTGTTATTATAACTATGCTCCGGAGCTGGTCAGAGTGGTTGCTCCAATCTTATGGATGCTATTTGCCTCTTTTGCCTGCCTCCGAGGAGTTGCATGTGATATGTCTGTGCCTCTCACAGCCCTGAGTGCAAGGGACTGAGCTAGAATCTCAGTCTCCGTGTTACGACACTGGCTGAGGACTGCTGTCCTTTCAGTAGCCCAACTCTGTATTCCTAGAGCAACCCAAAACTCCCATTGCAGCCAATGCAGGATTTTGCCAAGTATGTGTATTTATTAAGAGCACTGTCTTCCTCTGAATAAAAATAATCGTGCTGAAATGAAGTGGTCACTTGCCAGAGCGGGTTAGATCAGGCTTTAGATGCTGATGTTCCTCACCTCCTTGTTGCTAACAGAACTCACTCCACATCTGCTACCTTTCAGGAATACATGTCTCATATCAAAGGCTTGATTACTGAAGACTTCTGTGCCATGAAACAGTACCTTGAAACACAAGAGAGAGCCACACTGATGGTCATTGGACAAGAGCAACAAGTGGCTCAACAGAAAATAGAAGAAATGATTGGCCATCTCACTGCGAAATTGAACATGCTCACAGAAATCAAAACCCAGCTGCAGAACAGGCTGCAAAATAACGCGATGGAGCAGATGAGCGTAAGTAGAAATCTGTGGGCCAATGAGCATGTACTGAGCATGTGCAACTTTCACTACCTGCATTAGTGCTCTTCTTCAGACTTCCCAATGCTGCACTCTCACTGTTGTAGAACAACCAGGGTAGTAACAGTGAGAGCAGTAGTGTAGATCGGATGCTGCCATTTAGACCTGCTCTGAGCAGGGTTAGACAACACGGGAGTTACAGCGCCAGCAGCTGGTCTAAGTAGGGCTCCCACCACGGCTGCTACTGGGAGAGCTTACAGGTGAGGAATTTGAAAAAAAAAAAAAAAAGTGTTGACCGACCTTCTGGGTGCAGATTCAGAACCAAAGGTTTTTTTTGTAGAGGGAGGCAAGCTTGTTTGTATGGTGGCTTAATGAACAAGTCTTTCATCTCTAGAGACTGGTGTTTTTAAATACAGCTCTCACTCAAATCCAAAGCAAAGATAAGATCCAATTATTCGGTTATATTTCCCTTTTACAGACAAAGGGCATGTTTACATATAAAAGTATAAGAGTCTTATAAAATCATTAAATATATATTAAATGTGCTTTTGAAAACTGCCTGCCCAGAGCTCCTAACAGAGCCCATTTTGACACCACTTTGACACCGCTCTTGCAGAGCATTTTTGGGGGATAGCAGGAGGAAGGCACAATGGTGCTGAGTAGCCAGACCTTGGGCCTGGGCATTACCATTAGAACCACTGGGAGAAGGGAACTCAACACTGGATCCTGCACCTGGATCCAGATGTACAAAAAGCCACAATCTGACAATTGAGAAAGAAGGCTGTATTAGTTAAAAAAACAACCTGGTTTAGAGGAGAAATGAAGGTAGCTATTAATATATATATATATATATATGGAAGAAAGAGGAATATAAATCAGAAGATAGGAATTGTAGAAAAGTGATAAGGGAAGCAAAGTGATGAAAGAAGAAATATATGACCAGCAGAGTCAAGGACAATAAGAAGGAGTTTTTAAAGTTTATTAGGATAAAAAATAATCCTAATGATGGTATTGGTCCATTACTAGATGGAAATTGTTGAATTATTAATAATAATACATAAAAGGCAGAAATGTTCAATACATATTTCCATTCTGTATTAGGGAAAAAGAAGAGATGATGAAATCATGTCATATGATAAGCCTCTTCCCATTCCACTAGTATCTCAGGAGGATCTTAAACAACAGCTGCTTAAGTTAGATATTTTTAAATCAGCAGGTCTAGATAACTTGCATTGAAAAGCTCTAAAAGAACAGGCTGAGGAGCTCACTGGTCTCTTAACTTTGATTTTCAATAAGTCTTGGAACACTGGGGGGAGTGGGTTCCAAAAAACTGGAAGAAAGCTAATTTGTAAATATTTTAAAGGGGTAAATAGGATGACCCAGGGAATTATAGGCCTGTTGGTGTGATGTTGATCTGGGGCAAGATGGAAAAGGCGATATGGGATTCAATTAATAAAGAATTAGTGGAGGGTAATTAATTAATGTAAATCAGCACGGGTTTATAGAAGCCAGATCCTGTCAAACTAACGACATCTTTTTTTTATGAGATTACAAATTTGGTTGATAAAAGTAATAGTGCTAATGTAATATACTTAGACTTCTGTAAGGCATTTTACGTGGTCCTGCACAACATTTTGTTTAAAAAAACTAGAATGATATAAAATTAACATGGCACACATTAAATGGATTAAAAACTGGCTAACTGATAGGTCTCAAAATGTAATCACCACTGAAGGGTGATTGTTTCTAGTGGGGTTCTGCGGGGATCAGTTCTTGGCCTTATGCTATTTAACCGGCTAACATAATTCTTGGATGCATAAACAGGGGAATCTCGAGTAGGAGTAGAGAAGTTATATTACCTCTGTATTTGACACTGGTGCAAATGCTGCTGGAATACTGTGTCCAGTTCTGGTGTCCACAATTCAAGAAGGATGTTGAAAAATTGGAGAGGGTTCAGGAAGAGCCACGAGGTTGATTAAAGTATTAAAACACAAACCTTATGATGAAAGGCTCAAGCAGCTCAATCTATTTAGCTTAACAAACAGAAGGTTAAGTAGTGACTTGATTACAGTTTATAAATACCTACGTGGGGTACAGATATTTGATAATCGGCTCTTCAATCTAGCAGAGAAAGGTATAACAAGATCTAATGGCTGGAAGTTGGAGCTAGATAAATTTAGACTGGAAATAAGGATGATTAACCATTGAAACAATACCAAGGGTTGTGATGAATTCTCTGTCATTGGCAATTTTTACATTTTTAAAGTTTGGAATATTTTTCTAAAAGATATGCTCTACTCATTTTTTCAGGGACGTTCTATGGCATGTGTTATACAGGCGGTCTTACTAGATGATCACAGTGATCTCTTCTGGCATTGGACTCTATTAATCTAAGACTGATTAGTTTTCAGAAACTCTAATTTCTCCCCCCAGATTTCTAGAGTCTGAGAAGAAAGTCTAGAGAGAAAGAAATCATATCTGTGGTGGTCGGGTGGCTGTTTATTTAGACAAACTATGATCTGACTACAGAGACAAGTCACTGTATGAGTTCTGTTGGAGAAAATATGTTATTTTCATTTTTGATCAAGAACATCTCTTTCAATATTTTCAGCAGGGTTTCAGGTTCTTCTCCTCTGATCACAATATTATAAAGAAAACTCTCTCTGTAAAGTATAAGATTTCTGGAGAGCTTACTGGTACTTTCCTCTCCTGACTTTATGAAGTCACCAGAAATTCTTGATGGAATTATTGCCATTTGTTTAGCTCAAGCTACCCTTGCATTCATCTTTTCTGTCGTTGTTAGGATACATCATCCAAAAGAGAAATTTACATAGGCTCTCCGATAATATTGAATAAAATTACTCTTGATGCTAAGAAGATTTGTGTTGTCACAAGTGCTGTAGAAGAGCTCAAGAAGCAATTGGAAATGTTAATATTGAAGAAATATCCTGCCCAGCTGCCACAAGGTACATTTACTTTATTTGTGTCTTCTTTTGTTGTGAAACCTCTTGACTTGTTACAGGACTTGATCGTGCAAGGTGCTGCTGAGCAACTCCTGGAGGGTCTGTGCACTGTCACCTCCCTTTGAAGTCAACACCTTGTTCGGCACCTTGTTTGCAGGGTTGTACTTATATTACGTAGAGGGACACTGCTAGGAAGTTTGGGCTCAAAATGTAAGATTTGTTTTTAAAAAGTATTGCTGAGTATAATAGAAATAGAGAGGTGTTTGTAGCATTTTTTAAAACTCTGGGGGTTTTTTTGAGGTGGAGGGAGTGTTCCAAATTCCCTTACAGTTTTGAAGACCAAAATAATAATGTGCTATTCCATAGACCATGGGAACCAGAAAGTGAAACTGACTAGAAGCAATTTGGAAACAGATCAGTTATGTTTCATTCTCTGTTTACTCTTTTAGATATCAATGTTAAACGATTTTCCTAAAAGAAATGCTGACCAGAAGTAGAGTCTTTACTAAGAATGGGCCAAATTCTCAAGTTCTTGCTCACAGAGAGTTGTGCTTTAGCAAGGACTTTGGGATTTGGCTCAATATTTGCTCATGTTCCTAGTACAGTTCTTATGCTTAAGAAGGGGGCCTATCCACGTAGCAGATGATTAGGAGAACTTCAACCTAAGGACCACAGGCCTAGAGTAGAAATGATTACTTATAAAGCACTATGTGCTAGGTGCTGTACAAACAGAAATAAAGACATGGTCCCTGCCCTAAACTTTTCAAATGCAATAAGAAACTGAACGAGAGTCTCATTTCCCCATTAATGAGAAAACTTCAGAATAATGTAACCAAGAGGGAGTTAGCTGTGAGCAGATCCTCCCTAGTGAATGTTTCCAATGAGTAGTCTCTTTTGATTTTTTGTTATTCTCCTTTCAAGTATAGTCTTTGTACTGTGGGGACTGGGGTACCAGTTCTGCAAACACTTATTCACATGCTTAATTTTAAGCATGCATATAGGTGTTTGCAGGATTGGGACCCTATGCAGCAGGCAGCAACAGAAGTACAAAGTATTAACATAAAAGCAAAGTTGTTTCCAAAGCACTTGTGCCAAAAAACCTTTCACCAGAACTGTACAGATTAATGTTGAGAGTGACTCAGATGTACAAAGAAAGTTCCAAGTGGCAGTCTTGCAAATTTGCATTACAGTGTTACTTCAAATCACAGAGACAGTTCCATGAGTGGAAGTATTTAATGTTTTAGAAATACTCATGCAATTACACATACCACAGTGATGAGCACAGTATAGGAACCTGTATAATAGAGAGTTAATTTGTGATTACTTGTACAAATCATGCCTAACTGGTCTGTTACACATCTAATTGGTCATATGTAGGTACAGTGACTGCACCTGCATGCAAAATGTTTTGATAATTATGGATGTAAAATATATATACCAACTGCACAAATATCTTTGCATGAGTAATTGCATACACATTCATCTAGAAATGTAGGTCAGAGAGCCTTTTTAAAAATGCCAGCTATTATATTTTTCCTATTTGATATGTACAGTAACTATTAGCCATTGCAACTGTATTTTGGTTCATGAATCTGTTGTTTGCCTTTTATTCAAAGAAACCCCTAACAGAAAGATTTTTTTCCCTCCACATTTATTAGAACCTGTAGCTTTGCGTCAGGAGAGGAGTGTCTGTTCCACATCTGTGGTGTCTGCATTTGACAATCCAGAACCGGTTATTTCAAGTCAGTTTTCTCAGTGTAAGTATGTAAACCAATGTGACCACTGGATAGCAATATTAAAATGAAGGATTTTAGAATGTTCACCAACAGGGCCAGACCCTCACCTGCTCTGATTTGGTGTAGCTTCATTGACATAAGAGGAGCAATGCCCATTTACACCAGCTAAGGATCTGGCTATTTACTTTTCAATAAATTATTTATTTTAAAAGAAGAAATTTTCACAACATAATACAAAGTACTGAATCTGTAGCTTAACCACTATTCAAACATATCAGTCTAAAAACTATACGGTAACTTGTTCAAATGAACTCGTGTTTACTTCGATTCTGATGGGGGTGGTAAGTATTCCATTTATATCGGTAATGGGATCATTGTGTTGTAAGACTGTGATTGGGGACAGAGTCCAAGTTGTAGGTACCCTTAGCGTCTGCTGAAGTCTGTGAGCCAAATCCAGAGTCCTTAGTGAGTTTTTTCTCAGTACTGGCAGTCAGTCAGTGGAGTTTGCTTGAGTAAGGACTGGGCCCTGGATTTGGCCCCTGGAATTCAGTGGGAATTAATGGTTCTCAGCAATTTGCTGGACCAGGCAATTTATGAATTAATTATTAATATTATTATTATTATTTTGTTAAGCTTCAGTGTTTGCTCACTGCTAGAAAGCTGGCATTTGGGTTACCCTAATGGGGTACACATCCAGCAGTATGCAGAGGGCACTTCAACTTTTGGCTGTGTTTCACCTTTGTTGAAAATGTTTCATTGCCCAGTCTCCTTGGTGCCTTCAGGTTAGAAATTTTCTATTATCTATTCTAGGGGCAGTGAACGTGACCTTTGATCCCCAAAGAATCCATCGTAACCTGGAGATCACATCTGAGAATAAGAAAGTGATTGTATCCCGTTTTCCACCTCCTTATGAACCAACTCCCAAGAGATTCTGCGTCAGCCAAGTGATGTGTTCTCAAAGTTTCTCTGAAGGACGCCATTATTGGGAAGTAAGTACCAAGGACAGCGGCGGATGGGCTGTTGGAGTTGCTGATGGAAATATTGGTAGAAAAGATCAGCTGGGGAGAACTGAACTATCCTGGTGTGTGGAATGGACTGGTAAGAATAAACAGTTGTCAGCATGGCACAGGAACCAGGAAACCCAGTTAAGTGAAGACCGACCCCTGAAGGTTGGAGTTTTCCTTGATCTTGCAAACAAGCACCTGTCATTTTATTCTCTCACTCATAAAGAAACCCTCTTGCATACATTTGAAATCAATATCCTACATCCTGTTTACCCTGCTTTCTGGCTGTATGGTTTGGATGAAGAAGGATCCTTAACTATAAATCATATCAACAGGGACTAGTCTGCAGTTCTTATGGAAACTGAAGATTTAAGCTGTGAATTTCAGGGTTGCAAGAGCTTTATGTTTTGGATGTGAGGCTTTTATATCATGATGCAGGGCTACCATCTCTAGCATAGTGGGAAGGTAACAGCTGATATGTTTTCTTCTTCTGCTTTTCTCTATTTTCTCCCTCCTTGTTACAAATCCTGCCTGATCTGCCCTGTCTTTGTTAAAGCAGGGTCTGGGGGTGTTATGTTTAACTCGGTTACACTCCCTGTTTTCCTGCACCTTAACTTAGCTTAACTTTTTGCTCAAGCACAGGCCACAATTGTGTCTTCTCATAAAGCTTTAGGTAGAGTCAAACCTCAGAGCTATTGTATGTAAAACCCTGAATGTAGCTGTTCTTAACAGTTCCCAGTCAGCTTGAAAAAGAGAGTACCTACATTTTCATGGCACACAAACATTTAATACACTCAAAAACATTGTTAATAATATTTGGAATACTTAGGAATAATTTCTCTGAAGCTATTTAGTAATAAATCTCCTGTGTTTGCCATAGAGACCTCCCTGCTTTGTTGCTGTTACATATATCTAAATGCAAGGCTTTAACATACATTTACACTTCTGTACCTGGGTACACACATTCCTCTGTGATCTTCTTTCAGAGATGATATCTCAAATGCTATAGTGTCTAATGACTGCCACACCCTACTTCTGCATATTTTTGGTCTCTTCTAGCTGAGTTGCCCTGTCCTGCACTTGTGCACAGATGTAGTATTCAAACAAAAGTCTGTCTTCTCCCCATTGCTTTCTCTCCCCTTTCTTTGGGCCCTGCAAAATTCAAATGCTGCAGTACAGAGTACATTGACATGTGCCTAAGTGTTTGTAAGATCAGGGCCCGAAGAGTAAAATTTTGCTCTCTGATCTTCATGGAGGATCTAGGCTCCAATATTTGCGTATTTCCAACAGTGAAGATTTCTGCACGGTTAGGGAAAGCAGAACATTGGCGTTTACGGCCTTGATCTCGTAAACATTTACAAATATGCTTAACTTTAAGCACAAGTCTTCCCTCTGACTGAAGTCATTAGGACAACACTTGTGCTTAAAGGTAAGCACATTCATAAGTTTTTGCAGGAATCTAGGAATGTAGGTCTGTTGTGTGGATCCGAGAGATGATGCACATGGGATGACATGCAGGTTAGTTGGCCTGGGCACATAACCACAGTGATATTTCTTTCCCCAAGTTGACTTGGAAAAGAGAGAAAGAGCAGCAACAAAGTGGGGAGCATACTGAACAGGATCTGGGCATTTCTAATTTCCCAAATGCAGGCTGATCGCGGCAGCTCCAGGACTGTAATTTGTTATTCTTTGTAAAATAACCCTCCCGTATAATCTGAAAATGGGCACTTTACATTGGTTCTGGTTTTTCATACATACCATCTGCATGTCTCATTTGCTGTCTTTTACTTTGTGTCATTGATGTGGATGATATTTTTATTAAAATACATGAAAATCTGAGTGTGTGTCTTTCATTACTGAAATCCAAATCACAATCCCATTGAAACCAATGGCAAAATTCCAAATGACTTTGATGGAATCAAGATTTAGCCCTTAGGACTTAAACCTGTTGCCTTTTCTCTGGCAAAACTCTCATTGACTTCAATAGTTTTACACCTGAGTAAGGAGTGCTGGCTTTGGCTGTTAGTTTCTAGGTTACACATACAAAATGAGGGAAGGTTACACAATACTACAGTCAGTGTGTTGTATTTCACGTGATAAACCGCACTGTGAATGCCTGATTGGTATTTAATGGGCACTTTTTATTCAAGTTTCTGATTATTGTAACTAAATGACCCATTACCAGATACTTCTCTTTGTCTTTGTAAAATAGAAACACCATTGGAGGACACATTACCGCCTAGGCCTATGGGAAACATGGGGGCACAAACAGAGGTGGAAACAAAGGCCATAGAACATTTACGCCTGCAGGGTCCAGTTTGTGTGGTGTTGACCTGTGGTGCACAGGTGGCACCGTGGGGCCTCTTGCCCCTCACACTCGGCTGAGAAGGAGGACTCCTCTGTGCATCCTGCTGGTTCGAGATGCATAGATGGTCTCTTTGCCCTGAGGGACAGCAATGGCCCAGGGTCCCCAGTGTTTGAAATTCTCCTCCGCCAGCCCTGGACTCAGCGTGGAGAGAGCGCGGAAAGACCCGCCCAACACACACAGACACACACATGTTCCAGACGTGCCTGCTCCATGGGCGGACATACGGAGCCCCTCAACGTGGCGAGGCACACAGAGCAGGGACAGACTGTCTACACTGTGGGTGAGTCTGTCCGACACAGCCTGGACAGACAGATTCACTCATTCCCAACACAGACACGCTCAGCACAGGCTCCACCGCTGTCCCCGACCCTGGCCCGGCCAGCAGAGCCCCGCGCCTAGTACTGGCCCCTCACCGCCAGGGGGCGCGCTCGTTCTCGCGCGCTCATGCTCTTTCCTCGCGCTAGCGTGTCCCGCTCGCCTTGCCGTAGCCGCTGCCGCCGGGGGGCCGGAGGACGGAGCCGGCTGAGGGGGCCGGAGCGTGCTGGAGGCAAGGCCAGGCCAGGCCGCAGCCTCCCCTCCCTAACCCTGATGCGAGCGGGACCCGGAGCCTGGGCCCAGGCTGTGGGGAGATGAAGAAGGACGTGAGGATCCTGCTGGTGGGAGAACGTGAGTCGGGGAGGGGGAGGGGTGCTGGGGCGGGCAGGAGGGTTGGGGCTGTGGGGGAAGGGAGACGGGAGGGGAGGTGGGGGTTAGGGGGGTGTGGGGGGGGGGGAGGGCGGGGTGAGGGGGGTGGGGGGGGTGGGGGGGGGGGAGGGCAGGGACGGGGGCTCAGGGGGGGAGTTAGAGGGGCGTCGGGGAGGGCAGGGACGGGGACTGAGGGGCGGGGAGGCGGGTGCTAGAGGGGTGTGGGGGAGGGTAGGGACGGGGGCTGAGGGGGTAGGGGGGAGGGCAGGGACGGGGGCTGAGGGGGTAGGGGGAGGGCAGGGACGGGGCTGAGGGGCGTGGGGGAGGCGTGGGGGGAGGGCAGGGACGGGGGCTCAGGGGCGGGAGTTAGAGGGGCGTCGGGGAGGGCAGGGACGGGGACTGAGGGGCGGGGAGGCGGGTGCTAGAGGGGTGTGGGGGAGGGTAGGGACGGGGGCTGAGGGGCGTGGGGGGAGGCTGCTGCCATCTGTGCTCATCGTTAGTTCGTATTTATGGGTGGAGAGGCGAGGGGGGGATTCCTCCCTTTCCCAGGGCTCCCTCACGCCCTGGCTTGGAGATGGGGTTCATCTCAAGGCAGCCCTCAGAGGCTGGTGACCAGGAGCCCTGCTTTGTGTGTGGGTCGCCGAGACCATCCTTCGTAAGGTATAAAATCGCGCACCCCCCCCCCCGCCCACCGTGCAGACTGCCCCGCCCGCAGCCGGCAGATCTCTTCTCCCTGGCATAGTGAGGGGAGAAGAGGTAGCTGAGTGCCACGGGGATGGTTCTGTTGTGCACGTTAAACAGCTTAATTAAAACTACCCCAGGAATAAAATAGGTCGTGTAGGAGGCTGTGCGTATCCAATTAGTTTGCAATTACCGGAGTGAATTTTTTACAGCCCTTTGCTAGGCAGATACCCAACTCATAGCCTATCACAAAACTTTGCATGCATAGTTTGCATACTTCCCAGCTGACGGTTCCAGAGTTCAAGTATCTGGTGGTGGCCCGGCCCGGGATTGAAAGTATAGTAAGGCATTTTTTATATTCTGAATTTGGAAATTGCAAACACTTCTTTAAATACGGTTATCAGATGGGCACTGTGGTCTTGTGGTTAGAACAGGGGATTGGGAGTCCAGATTTCTGGTTTCTGCCATTGATTCATTGTGTGACCTTGAACAAATCCCTTGAACTCTTAGCCAAACATTTGAGAAAATGGGTGCCTAAATTTAGGTCCCTAGGTCCATATTTAGACACCTAAATCAGAGGCCTAAATTTCAAGTGTGCTGAGCACACAGTATATCCCACTGAAATTAATTTGTAAAGCACTTTAGGGTCCTTGGAAGCAGAAGTACTATGTGAGTGATAAGTATTTAATATAATACATAATTATATTAAGAATTTACAGTAGTTCTTCCTTGAAAGGTACTGCTAACATAATTTCCCTGGCAACTGTAGGCCTAGCATGGTTTGTAAAATTATTTTATAGTGTGGTAGGTCATGTCTACATTCGCAAAAAGAAAAGGAGTGCTTGTGGCACCTTAGAGACTAACCAATTTATTTGAGCATGAGCTTTCGTGAGCTACAGCTCACTTCATCAGATGTGATCACTGAGCTGTAGCTCACGAAAGCTCATGCTCAAATAAATTGGTTAGTCTCTAAGGTGCCACAAGTACTCCTTTTCTTTTTGCGAATACAGACTAACACCGCTGTTCCTCTGAAACATGTCTACATTGTATGCAGAAACTTTTAGGGCCTTTCTAGAGAACAGTGTTACAGCATGATTCTCTAGAAATATGTTAATATGCTTTTAAATCTCAATGTAAATAAAGACAATACATGGCCAGATTTTAAAATAACAAGTTTATTTGGCTTTAAATATATTCTTATTCACTTGAATATACAGCTGAATTTTTCCTATGTGACTTCTTTTCAGAACCTGTCCCTAACCGCGTTTCTTTGTTACTAGCTCCTGTAACACAACTGTGAGAGGTACCACTGCCGGCCAAGCTGACTTGCTAATTCACAGACAGTACAGAGTTTAAAATTGGGTTGAGTCTAGGTGAAGCTCACTCTGTATGGAAACAGGCTGCAAGTTTTAAATTAAACAGTCTTTCATATATTGGCATTGGATGGAATTATCAAAAATCTATATAGCTAGTGGATTAGGTAGAAAATATATAGGCTAAAGTCATGTATATTGTTATAAGATGTTCATTGTTGTACAGTATTAGATTAAATGTTATATAACTTGCAGAAGACATGTTTATAATGTTAGAAATGAGGACTATTCAGAGATAAAAACATGGTTGGGAGAAAAACCTAATTGCAAGGTCACTACATTGAAAATGTGCTTAGTGTATTTTTAGTAGAAAAACAACCAGAATATTTCAATGTGACAGATCTACAGTAATGAAAAATTGAGTATTTTGCACTGGTTCTGCTACAGTGATTTAAGTACAGATGCAACACAAGGCTCAGTTCATATCTGATAAATGGGCACAGATCATGTTTTGTAGATGATGTGTGTTTCTGCATTTCAAAGACCAGGGCTCAGCTGAAAGCACAGGCCTCGTTTGACTTCTATACTGGGGGCCGGGGGCAGCTCCAGTCAGGCCAGTGAGGCTGCGCGTGGGGGGCAAATTGCACACCTGCCTGAGGCTTGCAGTTTGGGGGCGGGACACAATACCTTCCCGGCCCCTCCCCCCAAACTACCCCTTTGGCTGGAAGTGTAATGGGTTGCTGAGGTATGGGTTTTTTAAGAGATGCATAATTGATAGTAATGGGAACTGTATTGTATCGATAATAATACATACATACAGCATGGGTTGTTCAAACATCTCTACCAATATTCCTTAACTGTTTATTTTTTAGGGACTGTTTCTAATAGAGGTGTAAAGTTAGTTCAGTCTACATGCTTATTTGAATATTGGCTTGTCAGCTGAAACTGCCAGTTACATTAATGGTAGTGAGTTTTTTTGTTTGTGATATGGACACATCCATTGGACTGGAACCACAATTCATTTCACCTAGGCCAAAAAAGAGCCATTGGATGGTAATACCAGTCTGTGTCAGATTCAGATTGTGACATAAGGAGTGAAAACCATTGTATCCTAGTGTACCCCCACATTCATTCAGTCCCCATTGCCATGGTTTGCATTAGAGGCTTTTTTTTGTAAACCGAATACTGGGATCCAAAATAGCCAACCTGTCATTAATCTTTAATAACCATTAATTTGCAGAGAAGCTCCAAAATGCTGTTTTTAAACTTCATGATGTGAGAGGTTTAACTGTCATGCTCAGAAAAGAGAGAATCCAGGTTAAACATTTAACAATACCACACAACTTTTTATAGTAAATCTAACTGACAGATAAGCTATTATCGCTAAGACTAAATAAACGATAAAACTAAATTATAAAGATAAATGTTCAACCCAGATTTAAGCAGAATAAATTTAGTTTCCTGCATCTCAAGCAGTAGAACTCCAGAGAAACAAGACAATAGAGGCTTCACCAGATCAAACATTCAGGCAAATTTTGCCATGACACAGATTTTCCTAAGCCATTCTGTAAAAACAAAATGCAACCCAGCCAGGAATGTTACAAATCAAGTCAGTGAAACGTTTGGGACCTAGAGCCCATAACACCATATGAGTGAGGAGATCTTTAAAATTGATGCTGCGCTTGTTCTGCAACCATGTTCTTCATCAGTTAAAATTATGCAAAATCTTATCAGCTAAACCAGCTCTTAAAGAATTGCAGCAGTCTGTTGTTTTTTTTTTAAAAGTAATGGCA